CTTCCCCCGTCCGTTTAGAGTGGAAGAACGTTACTTAATTTACGCGATGTTAAAACCATCCAGTTAAACTGAATACTTTTTAACGAAATGATAGTTAACTTATCTTTTATGACTTTTAATCATGACTAAAATCCTGACCGAACCCTTACCCTAAGTCGATGTATTTACATTTAATTTTTGTGTATTATTTATGCCAAATAATACACAAAAAATTATAACTTTATTTATATATTTAAATCAACAAAATATTTGTGGTTATTAAAATATGTTTTAGCCTGAAAAAAATTGGGCGTTGATATTTGAAATAAAAATGACAAATTTAATCTAAATTTGTTTAAAATTCAACTATTTAATTTATTTTAAACTTGTTTTATGCTTTATCTAATGGCTTCGTTTTTAAAATATCTGAAAGTTAAAACAGACACTGTAACGACCTATATAAATTTACAAAAACAATTTATAAATACTTTCATTTTTTTTTATAATTCTTTTTTTTAATAAACTTCATTACTTCATTACAAATAAAGAAACAGATTTCAAATCAAATAAAAAATAAAAATAAAGCAACTTTTTCAACAAAAATTGCTTTAAATAAATAGGGAATGATTTCAAAATCCCAAAACAGTAAACTTCAGGCATATTACAATTAACAATAATACAATTAACAAATCTCAGCAAATAATGAAAACTTAATGAATTAATGTCAGTCTAACAAGACAAACTTAATATGGTAGTTCTTTGTTTGATTTTAATGTATAAAGTTTTTCAATGGTTTTTGATAAAAAGAAAAGTATATTATATATAAGAGTATCATAACACTCTATTTTAATAATGAAGTCAGACAAATTTTATCTTTAATTAAGTTGAAGAAAAGCCAACGAACAGCATTGTCAAAAGGACTTTTCAATCCACCAATTTCAAATGATATTGACCTAAGTTTAAAAAATAAAACATGATTCTGGTCAAAATTTCATCTTTGTTAAGCAAATCATAATTTCAAAAAACATGATGTATGGACACTACTCTGAGCATGTCCCTATTTTATTCAGTCGATGTATGCATACTCTATTGCGCCTGTCCCTATTTTAGTCAGTCGAAGCATGAATCACAGCCCCTGTTGCTATTTTGAATTTAAATTTAGTTTTTTTTTTAATTTTTTATTGTATATATGTATCATAAATATAACTTACGTATGTAAGTTATATTTGTGATACATATATACAATAAAAATCTCACATCCTCCGGTGTGGTCCGGTGTAGTATTCGTATACACCGGTTGCTAAACGCTTTAAAATTAACCTGAACCTAACCATGTACATTTAGATGCACAAATCCCTTCTCGCTGCAGTTAAGGTAGTTTTAAAATATTATAGTGGTTTTATTTTTAAAATATTATGATATTTTGTTGACTACGACATATTTCCATTAAATGAATATGTCTGTAAATTATAACAAGACGAAAAAAATTAAAATGATAAATTTTGCTGTATCATAAAATATAAATGTTTGTAGCGAAAAAACCCAGACCGAAGATTCTCTTTTTAAAACAAAATCTTCTTAAAAACACAATCGCTACTTCAAATTTGAATAAGGTTTTAAATAAATATTTTTTTAGGTAAAATGAGCATCATAGAACATTAATAATATGATCAATTCTGATTGTTTATTGGCAATTTTTCTTAATTATAAGCTCTTTCTTGGTCGGAACTCTAGTATTTTTTGTGAAATTGATAGAAATATTGTATTTTGACAACATTATATAGTTAATATACGTAAAAACCAATTAAAACTAGAATCTATAGTAAATAAAGGAACTTTTTCAAAAGGTTTTCACTAATTCATGTTAACGCCGATCAGCGAAAGTGATCTAAAGACTCCAAAATGGTGTTCTTTAGATTCACTATTAGGGGTAGTAAAAGTTTTTTAAAAATTATGTATAAAAAAAAGTTTTTTTAAGAATTAAAAAAATCGAAAGTAAAAAAAATTGTACCATCTAAAGCTCTTGTTTGGACGTAATACGCTGATAAGACCATCCTACTTCCAAATAAAAGAATTCGAATAATTTGTAAATCGTCTTAACTACACCAGCTAAAATAGAAATTTAACATTTGTTGTTCAAAAATACGAAACGTCCCTATTTAAGTGTAAAAGCTAACTTTTTCTTTTCTTTTTCTTCTTTTCGCACGTACAATTAATATGGGCTTCATCGTTACATTCTCAAAAACAATTTTTCTCTTGACAAGTAATAATTTGGCAATTACAATTCAGTATATCAAACAATTTATCAAGTTTTGCCAAAAATCTATCTTTATTCATTCCATTCATTCACCAATGTTGCAGTAATATAATGTTCAATTTGTGTTACAGGATATACAAATAAAGCATTGGCTTGGATCCATTTATCAATCAACTTTGAGTAAACATCGTTCATTAGTGATTTTATCGGATAATTTCTTTTGTTTCTATTGTTTCTTTCTTGCAAAAATAGACCATATGTAAAAAGATGTCTTAGCGTTGGTAACTCCAATACAAAAATATCTGTTCCAGAACCTATATTTTCCGAAAGCTTTGATTCGTTTTTTTTTTCTAGAAGATATTGACTCTGCCATGATTAAATAGCAAAGTTCAAAATTTGCAAACTTTTTGCGTAAACTTTTTAATTTTTAAAATTTTTTATAATATTTTTTAACATTTAACATACAAATTAAATGTTCGACAATTTATAAATTGGCAACTTTATATAGTTTTGATATCAAATAGAATTCAACGTAAGTGGGTGTAAATAATAACTTGCGTATAAAAATGCGTGGACGCAAAACAGTATCTGTGGTTAGGGTCAAAGCTAATTACGAAAAATTGACCTTAAATATGTAATTTTTAAACAAACTTTCCGGTAGCTTAACATATATTATTTATAGTACACAAGTTTTCTATATACCGGGTTTTAGGAAGAACTTTTTAAAAAAAAAATCATAAAGTATGACACACCCTAATGCAGGGACAGATACAGTAAAAGAATGAGACTTTGCTAAATGACAAGTCAAGCAAGAATGCGCTTTGGTTGATAAAACTAGAAATGATATTGTCAATGACAATGACAATGACGCAAATGACGATGAGAGCAGATAGAGCAGTTTCAACTAAGTTTATTATGTGTCGTTGGAAGAGAAAATATGAAATAAAATATACAGAGAAAAAAGAGCACCATTATAAAAAACTAGCCCAAAATATGACAACAGTATTTCATACAAGAACGAATAAGGGATTTGTAGAAGTAGATAATAGAATCAAGATGATTTGTAGAGGTAGAGAATGGAATTAGAAGAAAGAAAATTGCGAGCACAATAAAGAGAAGCAGATTAGCAGATGCTAATCAATTGTTAAGTAGCAGATGCTATTTAACAATCGATTGTTTCCAGTGAGAGGGTTTCCAGTGAGAGGGTTTCCAATGATTTCCAGTGAGAGGGTTGCTATTCATCAATATTCATCAACATAGGAATGTCGACAGTATTGTATAGTTGTTTGCAGTAATTGAGTTTTTTTGGAGTTAAAATTCACAAGCCACTGCAAGCCCCAATATGTTATAGAAGTTATATCAGATTCAAGATTGGCTGCCTGTTCTAAGCGATTTAAAAAAAAAAAGACTTTTTGTCAAGACAAAAGTTGATTCATTAGCAAATAAAGCCACTTTAGATGTTAGATTGTCAGAAAGATTGTTAATGTAGATAGAAAAAAAACAGGATCAAGGATAGAATTTTGAGTTACCCCAGAAGTTATTGGAATTGAACATGAGTTTAAAAACGACTTTGATAAAGCGTTTAGAAAAAAATGATTTGATATTCTCAAAAATATTTCCAGATATACCATACCAAGCAAGCCTTGTCTGTTAAAAACATATTGCCAATGAAAGTGGCAGAATTTTAGTGATCGTTATAAATAAGACAGTTCAAAAGTTTTTTTTTATTTCATTGTTAGAAGTTCAAATTTTATTACGCGTAAATTAAGAGCTAAATTTTTTCTACGCGCCAAGTGGTTTACAGCAGCAGTTTATAAGAATATTTTTTCTTTTATTAATAGTTAATTCAATTGATACCTTCATTTTGCCTTCGTCAGAAATGGTCAATTTGCTACTACTTTTGTGCAATGTTTTTTAACGTATGTCAGATCTCCTTACCACGTATATTTGTTTGTCTCTTACAAAACTAATTCAGTATATTTAAGATAAAAATTATAATTATTTTTTAGTTTGTTTAAAAAGTTCCTTAAATTAGTATATACATATATACTTCACATTAATATAAAGAGTCTATAATAATATTATAGACTTCTTTCAGTAATGTTAACAAATATTAATGTAAACTTGTATATGTTTCACAGAGAAGCAGATAAATTGAAAAGGAATCTTTTTCAGAAACTAGAAATTTTAATGCTAGAAACTAGCACCTTAAAAAACTAACACCATCAGCATAAAAAAAACTTTTATCACACCACGACAATTTAAGATTTCATAATTTATGAAACGTACAGTTTTGAAAATATTCAATTTTTAAGATCAAGTTTTACCTTAAACCATAAAATATTTTTTAATATTATGTTACCACAACAACCTCCTCCCAGAATTTTAATTTAAAAAATAGGATTTGGTGTTACTAATTAACTGATTAACTTGTTTTAGAATTATTCAAAATAAACAAAAATCGCTTTCATTCCAACGCTAATAAAGAAAAACTTTTGAATTATTTATTTGCACCAATAAAAATAATACAAATAATATTTTAATATTAACATTTTAGTTTTGCAAATGTTTTTAATTACTTTTCCGTGTTGTAATTTTATTCTCTCGTTTTATATTAAAATTTAATAACAAATATAAAAATTATTTTTTGAAAATGAATTGTATAGTAGCGCCATGATTGATTGTTGCTAGGAAACTTCTAAATAAAGTTTTCATGATTAAACGTAATGCTAAATACATTATTTCAGTTGCCGCAATTTGTTACCTTGTGTGTGATACTGAGTTTTAAAATGCCAGAACAACTTTTGAATACGCCAGAAAATCGTGTGAGTGTTTACATAAGTAAAAATAATTTTTCTTTTTTGGTAATACATTATCATAAGTTTTTTTACATAAATTATTTTAAATCTTTTTTAGTTATTAGTTTTAAATAGCTTTTTTAAGTTCCCTAACTTAGTATGTTTATTTTTAATTTTGTTTGTGTGTTTTGCATGTGTGTTTATTGATGTTTCTGTACTTTCAAGCTTTCAAGAAAGTGAAATAAATCAGAGCTATAAAATATTTTTATTAAAAAAAGTAGATGATTTATTATTAGTTTCATGCTATTTGCAATCATCAGGTAAAATATAAGGTTTTTACTTTAAAAATATTTACATACAACTACCTTAAATAAAACATTTGTCCTCCGTTGGCCTAAATGTGAGTGCAACAAGTGGATAAAATATTTTTTTTACTATTTTAAAATAAAGTTGTACTCATCGATAAATTTGAAATTTCATAATATAATCTGTCGGCGTTCAAAAATGATGACCATATAAACTTTATATGGTGCACCCAAAGGTTTTAGTGCCTAGGGCTCTAGTTTTCCTTAATCCAGTTGTAGCTGGGTGTATTTATGCTAAGTTAAAAATTTTTTATTCATGTTCTAAACACTGTCATTAAAAATATTCTTAAGTGGACAGCAAATGTAAATTGCTTTAGTAGCGCGCTCTCTCTTTCTCTCTCACAATTTTCTTTCAATATTATCTTAATTCTCTCTTAACTCTCTCTCAATTCTCTCTCAATTTTCTCTCAATTCTCTCGTAATTCTCTCAGTTCTCTCAATTCAATTTTCTCTTGAATCTCACTCAATTTTCTTGCAATTCTCTCACATCTTTTGTTATGTAGTAATCTACTATCAAAAGTCATAATAAAATATTTTTCATGGATACAAAGGTTACTCTTTTTTGTAGATGGGTTATAAGATTGGCATCTTTTAATTATGTTCCTTAATTATAGGCATTAAATTTGAAAACATAAAGACTCAGGTCTTTATGTTTCCAAATTTCTTTGAAAGTTTCTGTATCATTTCTATATCTGGTTGCATTAAAGGATTTAAGGTGGTTTGCAAACCTAAGCTTGAATACGTTTTCACTAATACCGATGTAATGTTTTTCCGTAAGACTTTGGTGATGCTAAAATGGCTTTATATACAACATTTATTGATAGACATTGGTTATTTAATATATATATATATATATATACATATATATATATATATATATATATATATATATATATATATATATATATATATATATATATATATATATATATATATATATATATATATATATATATATATATATATATATATACCAAGCTATTGATGAGATTTTACAAATATGATTTATTAAAATTTGGGAAAAACAAGACTCGCAGAAATGAAAAATAGTTATAGTTGGAAACTGATTTGGTAAAACTTTAATAATTTATTTAATGTAGCCCGTGCAGATAATAATAGACTTATAAAAATTTAACAAGATATAGTATTTCTACAAAACCATAGAGTAAAAAGAAAAATGACAATGGGTACAAAAGGTTTAGAATCGATCTAAAAGAACGTGAACAAAAACAAGAGTATCGGCATCTTCTAAGAAGAGCATTGCAAAATAAAAAGAGGAGTTGAAGTGAAAAAATGTAAGACTGGATTGGTTGGACAAATTCAATATTCAGAATATTAAAAAACGGGTAATGAGAAACTGCCAATTTGCAATTATCCCCATCAAAAGTCTAGAAAGACCAATATATTAGAAATCACCCTATTCAAACTCTAGCTAATGAAAACAGTAAGTTAGCATAATGTCAACATAATTTAACTTAATGTCAACATAATTTAACTTAATGTCAACATAATTTAACTTAATGTCAACATAACTTAACATAATGTTGTTGATAGTTCATTATTTATTGCTAGTCTTGATTGTCTAAAAACTGAATACAGGATAAGCACATTTTTATGCCTGTTTTTTTTCTAGTATTTCAGGACCACATATTGGAATATTCGATTGGTTCAAAAAGCATAGGAAACTTACTGACACTACCCAATACAGTACAACTAAGGCTCATCAACTCTTTAAAAAGAATACAAAAAAATTACCAAGAGCTCAATCAACTTACACTAACTACACTGGGTAAAAATAATAATGTAATTTTATTAGCCCTTTTGGTGCCTATTATTGCTCCAGGTGGGTTACAAAAGAAATATATTGTCTTAATATCTATTTATTCCGTTGAAAATTCAAATTTATAGTATAAAAACTAGAGGGTCTTTGTTGTATCTGCCTTTTCATTATTACTATATATATGAAAGCCTGGCTTAGAGCTCCAAACAATGATGATTCATAAAATGACCTTTAACCATCTGATGGTCCGTAAAATGTTTACTCCAAACTATTAAATCTTATTTATTTGTTGAAAAATAGGTAGCAGATATTGTTATTAAGAAAATGAGAGGACATAAGTGTTAATTTAAAAGATTTAATTGGACATTTTTTGACTTTGTTCCAAATAGTGAGAAAGAGGTTATGATTATTATTCTGAAGGTGTCACCAATAAAAACTGGACTCAGACAAGTTTATTTAAAATTAGCACGATTTCACAAAAATACTTTGTCAGATTTTGTCACTCAAAAATCAATAAACATGTTTGCTGCGCTTTAAATTAAATCAAATTTTCTTACTTATAATCCAACTGCATGAATTTTCTGTTCTGTCAACTTCTGTTCATTGCACAGCAAAAATTAGCAATCATGATAGTCACCAATAACTGTGCTGAGCGTGCTGCTAAGTTAGCAACAGACTTCAATAATGTACTAACACTTGATAAAGGTGAACGAATTAAAATTGTCGAATATTACAGAAAACTCATGACCATTCCGTTAAAGAAAAAAAAAGAAAAAAACTTTAAAGCAGAATAGAAAGGTATCATTTATTTCTCTAGTGAATGCTTTGATAACACATTGTATATCACACTTAAATATATTGTAACATTTATATTCAATAAAACTTATGTGATAATTTCTTATCACATAATTTCTTACTGTTTCATCTCGACCATTTATTCTTAATTTACAATGTGTAGTAAAAAAGGGGGCCTAATTTTGAGAAAATAACTAAGCCTTTTTTTATTATTATTATTTTTAAAAACAGTGTACTTTTCTTGCGTTTTTAACACAATCCCTAATTTTCTGCAAATAAAACTTCTATTATAACGTTTAACTTAGACTCTTTCTCCCTTATGTAAACTTGTCTAAAGGCTTTTTGATTTCGACATGTCATAAATGTACAATAATAGATATAAATGATATTAATATAAATATAAATAACAGTAATTACTAAAAATAATAAATCTAAAAATAAATTGCACTTTTTTTAACTTTAGCCAACTGTTTCTAAACGAGAAGAGTTTCGTAAATATCTTGAAAATTCGGGAGTAATCGATGCATTAACTAAAGGTATTTAAATTTACTCATACGGTAACTAAAGTAAGATACGGAATGTATAGGTATAGGCACTTCAATCGGATAGGCTTGGATTTGATATGTTTTTTAGAAATTAAAAAAAAATGTATTTGTTGCGCAACGTGTTTTTATTACTCCCAAAACTGATTTACAACTATTTAGCTATTTTCAAATCTCATTTTGTGACGAAATTTCACAAACGCCCATGTCATTTTTTCTTGTTTTGAGAATACTGGAAAAAAAATTGGCTATTTTTTATCTTATACCATAATAAAACAAATGAAAAAAAAACTATTTTCTGATTGGTTTAAGACAAAGGTGATTTGTCAAAGAAGACTGTGTAAAATATTCATTTAAACCATTCAAAACCCTCTAGAATTGACTCGTGCGATTGTGAAATGATTGCGACAATTTGCATTTCCAAATAATTATAAATATATTAATAGTTTTTGAAATATTGTTGAAATTAATAGTCAAGCAGCTAGTTGGGCTGACGGATTTGTGGTGTCAACGTAAGCAATCCTTTATTACTTTTTAAAATAAGATCCCATAAGTAATGCAATATAATATGCCAAAAGTATAGTGATATGCCAGTGTAAAAGTCATATAGTGGACATGTGCTGTTATAAATTTTAGACAGTAAAATTTTGTATAAAACATTGTTATAAAAGTTATAATTAAGAAGCTAACAAATTTATTACGCTGATTATGTTTTATTCAAAATGTTAAAAATGTTAGTGGGTTTAAGTCCACTGAAAGTTGTGTCAATACAGCTCGTTTTTTAAACAGGTTGGACATGTTAATATGATTTTATCCGAACCTTTTTAAAACAAATCTATACCTGCCTGAAAAGTGGATTTGAAAACATGATAAGTGTCAGGTTAAATTTCGCTACATCTACTAGCAGAAAATTAAATCACATTGACAACATTGCTATTAAATTTTTTGAAGTTATAAATTGGTTGTCCATTTATAGCTTGCTTTGAGAGAGCATTCGATCACCAATTTTTAATAATTAGGAAAATTATACTTCAGATTTGACTTTTTTAATTTTGCCTTGTATGATATGTTGTTTCTCTGCAATTCTTTTTGTTACAAATCTTGGATATATCTCTATTGTAATGATATTTTTAAACCAGACTTCGACTTAAAAATCTAGGTGCCGACAAATGTACGCAAGATATTTTCTAAATGGATGCAAAAGTTTTAAAAATAACTAAGCATTTAAAACCGTGATACTTAAGTCCAGTTAAGTCTCGTTTGGCCTTGTTCGAGTTTTTCCTAGTTACAACGGTTTCTACTTAACTGAACCATTTCGTATAAGTGCATTGATTTACTGTTGATACTTCCAACATATATAATCTTTCACCCATTAATTTTTCCAATTGGCCTTTATAATCTGGTAATTGATTTTTCGATCTGCCAATTAAAACCAAAGTTTTTACGCGCTACAGTAGAAAACCTTGAATTGAGCAAGAGATATTCTGCTAGAATGAATAAAATACATATAGTAATAGTTATAAACTTTGTCAATAAGACAAAATTTATAATTATTACTATATGTATTTTATTTTAAAAATTACAATAAGAACGCGGCTACTCGCAGAAGATCATAACAGCTTGTAATCGAGAACCGCCAAAATAAACTTTAGGTAAAAATTAATCCTTTAATAATTCATATATAAATATTCAGACATAAATGCAAATATAATTATTTACACATATTTAAAAATGCGAACATATAAATATATATATTTACACATACATATTTATGTTAATAAGTTAAGATAAAAGATTTTGCATATATAAATTTCTGTTGGCGATAAAGTGGTTCTAACTTAGTTTTGCTAATACTACCCTAAGCCGCATTAGCAGCTTAAACTATTAATATGTGTTTATTAATTTCATTTTATTGATACAACCAATCCAAAGGCAAAAACTTTAATAATAATTTTTTTTTTTTTTACAAAAGATTGAAGTGTAGAGTCATTTTTAATTTAAACAGAGGTAATAAAAACTTTAAATTATTTGCTTTAGTTTTTAACAATATAATTTTGTTGGGGTGAATTTTTACGGGTATGTAAGTGTAAATACTAACTGAAAAATTTTATATTATCATGTATATTTTTGTATAATTAAAAAAGTGCTCAATAAATAAATTTGAGCTGTATAATATTTTAAGTTACTGTTACCCACAGTTACCTGGAGTTAACCGCAGTACCAAGAAACAACCAAATGCTAATGTTTATAATATAATATTGCTACTTAAAGTCTCATGATTTACCCCAATTATTAGACAAGTAGCTTTGAATAATTCAACGTTGACTATAATATTTATATATATATATATATATATATAATATATATATATATATATATATATATATATATATATACGATATATATATACGATATAAATATACGATATATATATATATATATATATATATATATATGTATATATACGATATATATATATATATATATATATATATATATATATATATATATATATATATATATATATATATATATATATATATACGATATATATATAAGATATATATATATATACGATATATATATATATACGATGTATATATATATATATATATATATATATATATATATATATATATATATATATATATATATATATATATATATATATATATATATATATTAGGGCCCTGCGAATCTATTCGATTTGCGAATCAAGTGTCGTTTTGATTCGAGATTCAATTCGAAAAAAATGATTCGAGTTTTTTGAATCACTATTTATTTCGTGAGAGTTGTTGTTTTTTCAGATATCCAACGCTAAAACCCTATCAAAATGTTTTTATTTATCTCAGCCGGAGTAAAGTAATTGTAATCGAAAGTAATTATAATACTGCTATGAAACAACCGCTAAAAAATTAATCGGGGCTACAAAAATTATTTCAATAGAGTTATATATATATATATATATATATATATATATATATATATATATATATATATATATATTACACATTTTCATATTTTAGTTTTATTTGAGCTTTACGATGAACCAGAAAAACCATCCGATGCTGTAAAGTATCTTTTCAAATTTAGTTTATTATTAAATTCCTCAAAATTAGTTTAAAATTATTTAATAAGTTGCATTAATCAGGTTTGTTAGCTGTCATGAGATTAAGTCCTCATCAACTTTTATTGTCACTAAGAAAATTTAATTTGTTTTAATGTTGTAAAAGGTTGTAATGTTGTAAAAGGTTTTAATGTTGTAAAAAGGAGGGGGGGGGGGTGCGTAGAGTATTTTTTTTTAAATAAGTTTGTGGGTAAAAAAAATTTTTTTGGCTTTAGTCGGCAAAAAAATGACACGTCCCCACCCCCCTCCCTTTAAAATCTCTTCGGGACGGCCCTGGTAACATTTAAGTAATAACTCATTTAAAGTTTTACTTAAATCTCGCTTATAAATAAACAACAACAAATAAAAGTAAAACCAATTTATAAAGATATGGATCTGTTGGTTATATATACACTTTAGTTGACTGTATCTAGGTACGAATCAAAAAAAAAAAATTATAATAGCTAAGATAAAATCTTGACACATTTAGTTTTGTAAAACAACATTTTGGTGGTGTGCAAACTGTGGAAATGGACTCAGAATATATATCTAATTTAAAAAAAAGAATCAAAGATCTTGAAATTGAAGCTGGCAATCTTAAGATTCAGGTAAATGTTCATCTTATCATGTTTTTATGTTAAAATTTTTTATATAAAGAAATAGAGTTGTGATAATCATTACTTTAAATTATCTACCAAAATTATCAATTTCAAATTATCTTCTAAAATCAATTTTAAAGTTTCTTCTAAAATCATCAAATTTAACTTATAAGTTAATATCAAAGATAATTATAATCGAAAATCATTAATTTCAAATTGCAATCCTTCTAAAATCTTTATTAATTACAAAAAATCATTCAGGAGCGGTAGAAAAACAATTTATTTCTCTTTTGAGTCTTTTTTTCCCCAGCCGTGTATTCACATTTTTTTATAAGTCTAATTTTATAAATTTTTTTATGGCGAAACACATAACATTAAAGCACAGCAGGGCTAAACACAACAGGGCTGAGCACAACAGGGTAAAACTTAGCAAGGCTGAACTTAAAAAGGCTGAACACAAGTATTATTATCTATAATAAAAACTAAAACAATGAATTAGTTTTGAATTTAATTTATTTTAGCTTGCCAAAAAAGAAGAAGAAAATGAAGAATACGAGCAGGTATTTTATATAGAATATCAAATAAAAAGAAATTTGCTTATGCATAACCCCATACTAATTAGTTTGTTGACTATCTTTTTAATAAATCCGTTAAATTAACAGTTACCAAAATATAGTATTTAAGTAAAAAAGCTTCTTTGAACGAAAATTAAATTCAACGAAAAGAATTTGGAAACTTTTTTGCATCATTGAAAATAAGAAAATATTTACTTTTAACCTGTATATTTTCAGGTTGAAGATATAAATTTTTTGTTTAGAAAATTATATTTTAAAATTATATTTTTTGTTTTAAAAATTCAATTAAAAACTTTTGTTTTTAATTGAATAAAAAAAATTTATGCCATGGCAAATGCATTGCATCTAATGGTGTGTAACGATTAATAAAAAACATTCATTTCGTTAACACGTTTGAATTCGAAGTACCATTGTGTGTATGCTAGTTCAAAGTATCCTTGCGCAAGTGCAGCGTGGGTACACTCGGCCAGTGGAAAAATAAATTTTATATAAACTTGTGAGTGTGTGATTAAGATGTCTTTAAGCACTGCATATCCTATATAATAACAGAGTATTTACATTTTATTATTTGATTCTTCAACTCAAAAAATTATTTTTAGCCGATTATTTTTTTCGGAAAAAAAAAAAGCTTTCAAAAAAAAAAAAAAAAATACCATCCGAATTTTTACTTGAAAAAACTATTAACAATAAATTAAGAAGATAAATAAAAAAATAAAAAACTGTTGTGTTTATGTATTCAAAAAAAAAAAAAAGTTTTCCAATTGTATCCAAATGCAAATTTTATTCTTGATAGGTTGAAATATGTTATACTAAATTGAAAGATGGTCTCAGCTTCAAAAATTAGTTGCAACTCTGTAGTATTATATAAAATAAATTTTTTTTTGTATTTCACAATTTATTTATTTTATTCATTTACTATATTTTCGTCAAAGAAACAACTGAAAGGCTGCCATCTTTTGTGTTAAAGTTCCTCACAAATCTATGAAGGGGTTTATATTTTAAACTTGCTTATTCTATATAAGGTAAAACGTTTTATAATTTTTTTTTTAAAAAAAAAAAAAAAAAAGGAAAGAAAAACGCATTAGTTGTTGTTTTCAGTATTGCTATCCGATGTTGTCACTAAATTGAAATAAAATGTTTACAAATTTGATTTTTGCCTTACTTCTTATAAAGGAGTTTGAGTTAAAAAAATTTATTTATGTACTTTTTATATTTCTGTATCTAATTTCTTTTTTAAAAAAATTTCAGATTTTTAAAAAACTATAGTTACCAAGACAAACCATTGTTACCATGGTCACCATATGTTATAAAGTTTTTTTAAATGTTAAATAAAATGCAATTTGACTATTCTTATAAAATAAAACTAACATGTTATCTAGTCAGAATGTTGTTCTATTGTTATTAAGAAAAAATATTGATTTTTGAAAAATCATTATAAGAAAAAAAAATTTTCACCGGGTCCATCAAATCTATAATAAGGTTGAGAGCCACCGAAATGATTATAGGGTTTATAGAAATAATTATTTAACATGAAATTAGTTGAAATTCGTTCGTTTTGTTTCGTTTCGTTTGTTCACAATATACATCGTTCGTTAACGAAAATTAGTTAAAAAAAAAAGGTTGTTGAAAAAGAAAGAGTTGATGTGCATGGACAGTAGTTGACAGAAGACTTAAAAAATTGTAAATAAAAACACGAAGATGAGAGAGAGTTTCAAAGCAACAATGAGTAAGGAAAAAATTGATGAACAAAATTTTTTTAGAGCATGAAAAAACAGTTACATTAAAAGTATGCAACTTAACTGAATGACGAGTCTTTTGATTGAGCTTGCTTTAGTAGCGGCTCTGATAGTATTTATAAAAAAGAACAAGATACGACGTTGGGACAGATGCAAATATGACTGAGAATGAAGCTTGGCAGCTAGAGCAGGTCAAATAACATTTACAATGCAGTTTTAAACCTTATCTAAATGAGAAAAAGTTTTTTTAGAAGAACCAGAAGTAAAAAAACTTTCATACAAGAATAAATATAAGCTTTATGAAAGTTGAAAATGTTGAGAATGTTGATAATCATAAGTAAAAAAATAGCAAACAAAATGAGGAAAGGTAACCAACCATATGCTAACTTTGCGATTTGCGATTTGCGAAAGTAAGCTGTCATAAAAGATTTAAAATTTAAAATTGGATGTTTGTTTCAACAATTCAAAAAGTGATGACGTCACTACTTATATATAGATATTCCACCATATATATAGTTGTGCCACTTTAGAAATAAGAATATTGGGAAAATCATTAGTATAGATGTCCATCAAGGACAACTTTTTCATTGCAGTAAAAAAAATGATTGAACAAATATTAGGTCTTTTCCAGATAAACCATAAGAGGTATGTTTATCGAAAAAATCAGCATTTCAAATTTAATCCATTACACTTAATGCCAAATAAATCTGTCAAAAATCCCAAAAAAAATAAATGCTATAATGGTTTACAAGTCAGCAGTTGAACAAAGGATGAAAATCCCGATTGAATGTTAGAAAGACAATCAATACAAATTTAAGGACATGTTAAGCAGTTTTAGGAGTATTGAAAAAAATTATGGAGAACACTTTTGTAAGCCCATGACACGAATGTAAACTGATGTAAAATGACACAAATGTATACTGAACATATTTGTAGAAGAGTTTAGGCGTAACTTTGGCAACAGAAACAGAAGCGATTTGGATGTCGAACAGCGGAATAACTTGTTTCTTTTGAAACACAGAAAGATTTTGGCCATTGAATTCAAAAAATGAAGAAACGAAGATAGAGGCGATTGAGTAAGCAGGTATTCAACAAGTACACATGAAAGAATAGTCAGAGGATTGAAACTTAATTTCACGACGGTGAATCGATACATAAGTATATGCCAGGCAAGCATTTGGCTATTGGAGTCTTTTTAAATTAAACAATAATAACCATCAGGACTGAGATCCAAAAAAACAGCCGAATTTAAATAAATTTTATAAATAGCAAGTAGGTTTGGTGAACTTTAATAAGAGATAAGATTTAAGCTTATTTTATATATAGCAAATAGGTTTGATGAACTCTGGCAAGAGATAAGATTTAAACGACGAAAAAATTTGGAAAACAACTAAAATTTATAAAATAAACATTGAAACAATTTTGTAAATATAATAGCATTTTTTTTAACATTATACTTCAGTCTTCATGTTTTAAATTATTAGAGCACATGACTCATGTCAAATATAGAGCACATATATATATATATATATATATATATATATATATATATATATATATATATATATATATATATATATATATATATATATATATATATATATATATATATATATATATATATATATATATATATATATATATATGTATATATATAAACACATATACATATATATATAAACACACACATATTATATATATTGTGCTCTATATTTATATAATTATTAGAGCATATGACTCATGTCAAATATAGAGCATATATATATATATATATATATATATATATATATATATATATATATATATATATATATATATATATATATATATATATATATATATATAAATATATATATATATATATATATTAGCTCCAAATAGTAAAAAAAAAAGAAAGTAAATAAAAAATAAAATAATAATAAATAGTAGTAATAAAGTAGTAATAAAAAAAGATAAGTAAATAAAAAATAAGTGAAAAAAGCCCCAAGTAGTAAAAAAAAAAATAGTTGGAAACAAAGCTATTAAGGATTTTCAATTTAAAATATTTAGATCTTTCGATTTACTTAATCTAAACAGTTACTCTGAATTCTTCTAAGACTATAAATAAATTACATATATATCAACTACAAAGTGAACTGACTCGTTTATGTGTATTATCTAAATGACTCTTACCTTTCTCAAAAAATATTTCAAAAAAAAGACACAATTTTTTTCTTGTCAATTCTAGTTATTATGCTGCTTGTTATGTTTAATTTTTTATCTTGAGCTTATTTTGAGTTTATTTTTTATTATGAGTTTATTTTAATTTAAAGACTATAAAAAAAGAGTTGTACTTAATATATAATTATATTTAACATAATCATAATATATTCCAATCACATTGTAAGGGCTTCGTGATAAGATCATTACAATCTTTTTGAAGTCCGGCTCGTACTATTTAATTATAAATTTCATTATATATTTTGAATCACGAGACTTGTAAATATTACACTGTTAATTTACTAAACTTGTAAATGTTATATGTACGGCAAAATATAAGAATAAAAAAACAAAAAAAAACACAGTCAACAAACAGATATTACACCAGTAGCGGAACTTCAAACTTTTCCCTTCCTCCCCCACAAAATATTTTTTAGGCTCCCACCACAAAGAGGTATTTTTTTACATTTTTGTAATTACTTTTTTTGATCAGTTTGTTGTTATTTTATATTTTATTTCTTTTGATTTTTGGTCAGGCGTTACTTTAATACAGGATTAAAATTTTTAAAATTGATAATAATTTTTAAACACTACAGTTCCCTCAAAAAATGTGGACCCCCTACAGTTACCTCGCCACCCCCACCCCCCACCCCGTATTGCGGGGTTTTGTGGTAAGGTAGTTCCGCCACTGTATTACACAAAAACCTGCTAAAAATTTATTTCAACCTTTAATCTTGGTCCCTAGCTAGCTTTAACACCAATTTTTAATTTTTATATACTTACCTATAGAACTTAACATATTTATATTATATATATATAGAGTTTAAAAGGTTTTAAAATCTATGGGTATATTTATGTATGTTCTAAATTTTAATGGTAAATTGAACATAATTTTATAAGAAGTAAAAGAAGTTGTTAAATATTTATTTTAGGATACAAAAGCGGAATAAAAAAAGCAATTAGAAAAGGTACTTTTTTTTGTATAAATTTGATTTAATAAATATATAATTGTAACAATTATTTAACTTTCTGTTAAAGAAATGCAATTTATTTCTTGGTAATTTGTAAAACTATTTAGTTTGATGTTTTAGTATATATTTATTAAATATCTTAGTAATAAATTTTAGAATAATTATAGCCAATTATACAACTACACGTGTATTTTTTGCAGATTTTTTTATATTAGCTCATAATACTGTTTTAATATTCAAAATAACTTCAGCACAATGTATTCTTTTTATATTTTTTTAGATCACTACTGTGTATTTCGAACACTTTTATATATTTTTTGCTTTGTTTTATGTTTATTATTAATTATATTGAGATTTATTTGTGGAATTGCTTATTTATTAAAATGTAATATTTGTTAAATTATTATGTAATAAATTATTTTATAAAAGAAACATTTTTTTTTTTTTTTGGTTTAAAAATTTATTTTGTTTCAATAAGTCAAATAAAACGCGACTTTTGTATAAGTTCGTCCTAAATTAGTTAGGGCCACTAATTCGAACTGTTCGAATCTTGAGAAAACGTCTTGAGTGCTAAAATCTTAAGTGCTAAAACACTAGCCATTTTTAACGTTAAAGTTCGAATTTTTAATCAAAACTTGGTCAGTATATTAGTAAATTCAGCAAAAAAATCAAGTTTAAATTGTTATTAAAACATTTGTATCATCTTTTTATTTTATTTATTACATTTTTTGGGATATTTACGTTATGTTTTTTGTGGCAACTCTATAAATTATCTGGCAACTCAACAAATTACAACAAAAAGATTTTTTGAATTGTTGTTGTCATTTGGTTGGCATCATTTTTCTCCCATTAAAATGTAAACAAATAACGTCAAAAGAATTTAAACTAAAATATTATATCATAATTTAAAATTAAAATAAAAAATGTCGTCTTTTAAGCCTTATCACATCAAGAATATCTGGCATTGAATTTTTCATTTTGATCATTCCCAAAAATTCCAACAACTAATACGTAAAATTCGCAAAGTTTTATTAAAAACTCCTGGTTCAACTACGTGCCTAACCTAACCTAAGTGTCAAACACATGTTTGACACTTAAATACAAAACGTAAAATTAACGCATAAAATGCAATAAATCTGAAACTGTAAAAAATATTCAAAACTTGAAAGATTTTTAGATTAAAATTATATTTAAAATAATAAACAGATAGCTTTTTTTTTTTCTTTTTTTTTTGTATGTATTTTGGTGCTCCCAGAAGTCCTTACGGCCTTATCATAAAGCACCGCGGGAGAGCATTTAACAGGAAGTTCACGCCTCCTTCCGTACCAATGTTGCTTGTTGAGGTAGAGTTGGCGTTGAACCCCGGACCTCTGGGTTCTGAGCCAGAACTCTAACCACTTCGCCACGGCTGCTTTTTATCGAGTTCGTTTAACAAACATTGCTAATAACTCCGTTTTAAGGTCTGTACGTCACGCTCAATTATAAATTGTTTGACACAATATCAGCAGTCAAAACTATTGAATTAATTATTAAAAAGCTTTATTTTAACTTGACCTTTGACAAAAATATTGTTGCTTCTATTACTGATACAGCCAGCTTGATGAAAAAAAATTATCTTTGACACCTGAACATTAAATCTGTGATTTTTAAATGACGATTGAAAAAGGTAAATTTCGGATCTACCCTTAGCGAAAAAGAAATAGTTTTTTGAATGCTGAAAATCAATACCAAAAAATTTACACATGTTTTTTAACGTTCTAAAAACTTTTTCCCATAATCTGTGAAAGCGGAACGGTTTTTTTTTAATCTATGGTTCTTTGCAACTAAGATAAGAATCTTGTTAAACGATCATATCAAAACTTGAAAAGTTGTAGATTTTATGAATCAAGAAAAAATGAAGATTAGGGTTTCCAATCGGTTTTAACCGATAATCGAAAACCGCGGTTTTTGGTCAAAACCTTTATAAATGAAAACCGTCGGTTTTCAAAAACGGTTTTAGCGGTTTTTATATATAATATCTTTAAAATGTTTATTTAATATAGAATGCTATAAAAAATTAAACTTGTAAGTAATTAAACATTTATTTTATTATTTAGATTCTATTTTGAACATTGAATATAAAGTATTTGAATACTCAAATAGAATGGCTTTTGGCTCTGGAATGACTTTTTATATTAAAGATTTTTGTTCTTAAAAAACATACGGATATTTTTATTAAGCGATTTTATTAAGCGTTTATTTTGTTTCAACAAAAAATTAACGAATAGGTATAAAAACAATTCACGAAATATTTTCTATCAAATATTTAATTTTTTGATAATATACATAATATACAAAAGGAAGTGATGAAACAAGAAGTTATCATAAAAATTAAAATGGGACATAAATTCAGCTTAACGCATGATGAATACACATCGTTGAAGCACAGAAGGTACATTGGTGTCAACCTGCATGTAAGCGAATATAAGAAAACCTATAAAACTGGCCTCATTCGGATTTATGGTTCCTGTCCAGCTGAAAATTTAACAATGTAATCAGTAAACAATGAAATTAATGTTGACTACCCTGAAATCTTGATGAATGCACAAAAAATAGTGAAATTCATATCACCCGTTTGTAATCAAACTTTTCAAAAGAAAGTTACAAAGGAATTTGGTAAAGAAATCAAACTGCATCTCGATATTCGTCATCATTGGAATTCACTTTTTTCAATGACTGCGTCTTTGTTAAAAACTAAGAAATATTTATTCTAGACATTTACTGAATTAAATGTTCTTGATATTATCAACAATTTAGATTAGCTTCATTACATACCGCTTTAGAGCCAGCAAAACTAGCAGTGGAATTCCTTAGCAGAGAAGATGCAATGTTATCGACAGCAGACACTGTTCTTGAATTCATGCTTGCAAAACTATTTGCTATGAATACAGAAATTTCATCTTTATTGCATTCAAATTTAAGCGCATCAATGAAAGAATTACCGGAAATATTATACAGTTGTTAAGGTGTCTAAAAGATCCTTCAGTTGTTCCATTAAAAAATCCTTTTGATTTTGCTGGAAAACTTGCGTTTAGACTTTTGGGGTTTACTGATGATGAGGAACCTTTACTAACTGAAGCACCATGTACAACATCGGAAAGTTCACTTGTTTTTCTAAAGGATGAATTAAATGCACTTCTAAATAAATATAGCATCACATACTTGCCTCTACTGATCAATTCAAATGTCTTAAGCAAGAGTTTTTGTTGAACCAAAATACGAGCAAAAGAACAGAAAATCTTGAAAAAATTTACAATGTGATATGCTCTGTGTCCACCTCAACTGATGTTGAACACGTTTTTTCGAGCTGCACTAGTTTCTGCACATAAATCAGATGACGATTATAACATTAATTCTAACATTATATTAGAAACATAATGTTAGAAAACTTTGTTTAAATAATTTTTCTAAAAATTAATGCACGATAAACTTACATAAGTCTTATCATTTAACAAAAAAAATCGGAAACCACGGTTTTTTTAAAATTAAAACTGAAACCGCGGTTCTTTATAAATGCAGTTTTTTGAAAACCCTAATCAAAATGGCATAAAGTTTCAAAACATTGATTAGTGGGGTAAGAACTAAATGAATAAAATTTTTTAGAAAATGAAGAGACAGATACAGTAAATGAATGCGACTTGACCTAATGACAAATCAAGGAAGAATGAGTTTTAATTGGTTGAACTAGAGATGATAGCTTTATTTTAGCAGCGACCATGACCAGCGACCATGATAGTATCTATAAAAAAGAGAAAAAGATGTAACCTTACGACATTTGGAGAGAGGACCTGCTCTATCTACCAAGCCTAATAACCTCAAGCTTGGTATATAGGTTAGGTCCGACTAAGTTTACAATGTGTTTACTTAGAAACTTGCTTAGAAAAAAAGAGCATCATTAGAAGAACCAGCCCAAATTTTACAACAGTTTTCCATACAGGGATGAATAAGAGATTTGTAAAGGTAGTAAACGGAATCATGAATAATAAAACGGCAAGCACAATAAAAATAAGCAGCCTAAGCAGGTTCCATCTTTGAAATATATTAAAAATCCAAGAAGACGTATAGAAGAGAACTTAGTGAGAAAGTCATTCATTAATATAGGAACGTTGATAGTATTGCAAAAATTGTTAAAAATAACTGAGTTTTGTTGGAGTTAAAATTAACAAGTCACTGCAAGCCCCTATCTGCTACAGAAAAGAGATCAGATTCAAGATTCATATTAGATATATTGAAGGTAAGATCTCAAAAAATATTGCCATGTTATATCGAACAAAACCTTTTCTTAATAACGAGTCTTTAAAAAATTTATATTTTTCGTTTATACACAGCTATCTTTCATACTGTAACATTTCTTGGGGTAGCACTAATCGCACTAAACTCAAAAAAATTTACAGTAAACAAAAACATGCTTGCAGGATAGTATTTGGGGTAAATAGAAAAACACAATGCGAAAAAAACCTCTCTTACGTCAGCTCGGAGCTTTAAATATTTATAAGCTTAATATTTATTAAGTAATGTTATTTATGTTTAAAGCAAAACTTGGGTTTTTTCCAGTAACATTTCAATCCTACTTTAATGAAACCTTCCAACCAAAGTTTCAGTGAATAACTTTGTGGTTTCCATAAACCTTCTTAAATTAAGTTCGTACCAAATTTAATATCGGGGACCTTTAGTTTAAAATAATGAAAAAATATGTTTCAATGCTTTGAAAAGCTTAAATTTATTTTTAAGCTTTTTTTAAGTAAAAAAAAAGTAAAAAAAATAAGTAAAAAAAATAAAAAGTAAATAAAAAAAATAATTAAAAAAATACTAACTGTGCAACTATGAGTTTTGGAGTGGAGCTAACCAACCAACTTTGAAATTTAAACAAACCTTTATTTACAAATATTTATTTGAATTGCAAAATTTTATAGTTTTATGAATAGTTAAAATATATAACACTACAAGAACAACAAAATTATTTTGTGCATTTAAGAAGTTTTAGAGAAAACTCAATGAACCTTTCAGTATTTAACTAAAATTTTTTCCATGGTTATAAGGTTGTCATCGTTATATGGTTGGAGCCCTAAAAACTATTTATTAAAGGGCTTCCCTTAAAGGACTCTTTTTATTAAAGGGCTTTCTTTTCAATTTTCAAAAATTGTTATTTTAATCTTTTGGTTTTTTTAAAAATATAACGTTTTCTAAAGTTTTAAAAAGAACTCTGTTTTTTTCTTTTGCATTTCAAAATAACTTAAAAAGCCAAAACAAAGATGCTCAAGTTAAAATCTGCAGTTACATTTTTTCATATTTTACATTTGAACATACACTTCTTCATTAAGTCCCATATATCGAATCCACATAATGAGAACTATTTTGGGTTTCCGCGCTCATTGGTTGAACTTTCTCTATTTTGAATTAATCAAATTTATACATTTTTTATGTAATCAACAAGGAATTAATGCATAAATTTCTTTAGGTTTCTTACTTTCAGATATGCCTACTTCTACAATTTAAAACAGGGACTGCTAACTTATGCTGGTTTATTAGTTGATTAGAGTATTAAAACTTGTTCAAACCAATTGAATGGAGCATTAAAACATGTTCAAGAAGTTAACGTTACAGTTATAAGAAGTAAACAAACAATTTTTTTGACTCTTGAACTTGTTTTGAACAAACAATTTTTTGACTCTTGAACATCTAAAACCATCAAGTGCAGTAGAGTATCTTCTCAAACCTTCAATAGTTTTCAAGTCTTTATAATACATTTTTTTAGCTTCAAAATAAAATATGCAGTTATGATACTTAACAATTTTTATTAAGTTTCTTGAGGCAGCATATTGCTGGAGGTCCACCAGACAACTCAGACATTGAAGCATTGAGATTAGAAATATCGCAATTGAAAGAGAGAAATGAAGAACTAGAAATTGAATTTTCCATTCTTAAAGGCAAAGTAAAAAAATGTCCTTATATCATTTATGTGTTTTTAGCAATAACATAATTAAATAAATTGTTTTTAAGATGTTAATAGTAATATAAAATAAATAAATATTTTATGGATATAATGTACAAAATTATATCCATAAAATAAATAAATATGTATTTCATGTGAATGAATAAATATATTAAAAAAATGAAATAAAATAAAATGAATAATCATGGAATTGTCTTAACGGAAAAACACTACAAGCTGCACACAAACAATGAAGAGCAGAAATAGTTCCTTCTCTTAATTGTAAAGTACCGCCAGCAATTTCTTGATCGAGTGAAGAATACTCTATATAACTAGAAGGGTTTTCTCACTTTGAAAATCTCAACGCAAAGAGACCACATATATGACTCTGGCGGTGAAGATTTAAAAGGTGTAGTTTAGTTTCAAGGCGTATCATTGAATGCTAGTTTATAAGCACGTTACTTTTAACATTCTTTAAGTAAATCTAGAAAATTTTTGCATCTAAGAACGAGTTCTTGGGATACTTAAAACTTATCATTCATAAAATGTCATTTGTTTTTTTTTATCTTTCGAGATAAATAGTCAATTTTATATTTTGATCATCGATTATTGTTTGAAAATACTATTTTGATTTAACTATATAAAAATGACCAATGATTAAGACCAATGATTTCTTTAGTTAAAATTAGCTTAAGTGTTTAAGAGGTAGTTTTATTAACTAACCCCCGGTTTTGCAAAACGGATAACGCTCTACATTTACTAAAGTACAAATTTTTAACATGAGTCTTTTATATGATTTTGAAAGCTTAATTTTTGTTTGATTGGTATAAGCGGAAGTTACATTTTTCTTAAATAAAAAAAATTGCATGACACTTTTCAAACAGTTTGTCATAAGGATCTCTTAACAAAAAAAATTTTGCTTGTAAGATGTATTTGTACTCGAAGGCTTTTTTGAAACTTAGTGACCTCCACCATACTAAAATTTAAAGCAGCCGTGGCGCAGTGGTAGCGCACTTGCCTCAGAAACGTAAGATCCGTAGTTCAAACCCCACCTCTGGGCAAGTTTTGCGACATCGGTTGGGAAGGAGGCGTGAACTTCCTATTAAATGCTCTTCTGCGGTGCTCTGTGATAAGACCGTAAGGACTTCTTGGGACACATAAATTAACTTAAAATAAAAAAAAATAAAAAACGGGTCAGATTAGTCGCATAAGTATTTGGCAAACGTAATCCGAAGTTACGCTGTTGAAAACAAAATTAATGCTAGTTTACAAAGGAAAACCTTTAAAGCGGAAACTCCTAAGAGTATTTGTATGTGTGTGTGATAATTAATAATGGTTTATCAATTTAACTTCATACACATAAAGTAAATAACAAAATTAACTAAAAAAAGCAACACTCATTTTTTTAAATGTAAAATGACACCTGTAGCCGATACCAAAACCGTTACTTCATTGACCTATTCTGAAACTGGATTTAGTTTTATGAAAAATTTGTTTCCCTTAAATCACAGAAAGCAATAAATCGCATTTTAAAAATTCCTCTGGTAACGTTAAACTGGAAACAAAACTGGTTTCGTAAAGTTCGTAAAGTTACCTTTCGATAAAAGCAAAAAGAAAAAAAGAAAAAAAAACTAATTGCTTCATTTACCTCCTTTAGATACCAGTTTAACGATAGTGCAAGAGAGGTTGGATACTGCAGACATTTCATTGAGGTGAATTTTTTTTCTTTTGCAGAGCCATTCGTTACTTTTTAAGACTTCTGCCTTTATTTTATTCGTAGAATCGTCTCTGATCGTGATACAAGAGATCAATGAACACTTCTTAGTATATTTTTGAAATCTTTTATCCGAAAAAATTGATTTGAATCTTACATTTCAATCAAGTAATAAAATCAAATAACGTGTATGAACCATTTTAAACACAGTGTAGTAAACTATATGATTTGGTATTTCTTTGTGTTTTTCAAGTGTTTTTTTTTTAAACATATTTGCATAATTAAGTTCTTTAGATATTTTCTTTGCTTGTTCAAAGTTTTTATAATTTATTCATTTATTTTTGATAAAATAATAAAGTATATTTTTATCAAAGTTTTTAAAAAAATAAAACCAAAATATTACAATATCATTGTTATATGGGGTCGTCCATTAACGTCACGTTTTAGGAAGGAGGGAGTTAGTGATTTTGTGACGACTCATACGGAAGTTGTTACTAAAGATTTACGATGTTGTGACAAGGGGGAGGGTAAGGGGTCTAAAACAGTCAAAAATTGCGTGACGTAATTTGTGGACGACTTCTTTTACAAAACTTTTTATTCTATCAAGAAATATATGAATAAAATAAGAGATGATATTTTTTTTTTTTTTTTTTTTTTTGAAATTTGAAATTTGAAACTTTATCGCACTGAGTGACACCATACCCAGCGAAGCCACTGCCTATTTTTACAGGACTCAAACATGTCTAAAAAGTTATAAAAAATACATTATTTAAGCCTCATTATATATGAAAATACGCGGGAAAATATTTTTCAATATATTTAACACTATAGTTTTATGATCTAATAAAGGTATTTCTGCTTGAAGCAATTGATTGCTTGAACCAATTGATTTTTTTAAAAAAAGTTGTAAGTCACTGGTGCTTACTGTATATAAAATAGACTGTTATAAAATAAACATTCAGGGCCATTTCATATTGTTTATTAGTAACCGTACGGGATAGTGCTCGTGACCTAGCAAGACATCGTTTTGAAGGATACTAAAATGGAATTCACCGCTGATAATTATAAGGTTTTTTCATAAGATATTTGCTTTTTGATTACACATTAAAACTTTTTTTTAAATAAATATTATAGTTTTTATGTGATTGTTGCTGTTTTCTGAGTTATTAGATTCTGCTCTTTATATTATTTCTGTAATTACTGTGTGATATGTGCAATATACCTCTATACTGTGATTTGCTAAAAATTCATGAGTAATGTTCTTTTTATTTTAATTTTGAATCTAAAACAACCACATACTACTAATAATAAAATCACAGTCATAAGTTACTATTTAAATCATATAAAAAATTCCTCAAACTATGAAGCAGTTTAATCAATTTGATAGTGGGATCAGTATTTTGTTGTTTTGTTGTTACTAAATTTTTTTTAATTATAAAACGTTTATTTTAATCTTTTTTAGCCAGCGGATTCTAAAAGAGAAGAGTTTCGTCGATATTTAGAAAAGTCTGGTGTCCTTGATTCTTTAACTAAAGGTATATTATTATTATTATTGTTATTATTATTTTTATTATTATTATTGTTGTTATTATTATCCAATTATTATTATATCTAATTTAGTTCTTGTGGCACTTTATGAAGAACCAGAGAAACCATCAAGTGCAGTAGAGTATCTTCTCAAACCTTCAATAGTTTTCAATTCTTTATAATACATTTTTTTTAGCTTCAAAATAAAATATGCAGTTATGATACTTAACAATTTTTATTAAGTTTCTTGAGGCAGCATATTGCTGGAGGTCCACCAGACAACTCAGACATTGAAGCATTGAGATTAGAAATATCGCAATTGAAAGAGAGAAATAAAGAACTAGAAATTGAACTTTCCATTCTTAAAGGCAAGGTAAAAAAATGTTCTTATATCATTTATGTGTTTTTAGCAATAACATAATTAAATAAATTGTTTTTAAGATGTTAATAGTAATATAAAATAAATAAATATTTTATGAATATAATGTACATTAAATAAATATGTATTTCATGTGAATGAATAAATATATTTAAAAAATGAAATAAAATAAATCTTACTTCAAATAAGCAGAAAAATCGCTTAAATTAATTCACAAACTATTTTACTGTGGTAATAATTGCTGTATGGAAAAGATTTAAGATATTCACAGTTTACCACACACACAAAAAATTACTATTAACATTGTTAATCTATATATATATATATATATATATCTATGTATATATATATATATATATATATATATATATATATATATATATATATATATATATATATATATATATATATATGTAAAAATTATAAGAAAATTGCAGTATTAAACATATTTTAGTATGGAATTCTCAAGCTTTTAAAACTATGTCTTTTTTTCATGGCATTGAAGCAACAAAAGACATGGTGTTATTTTATGACGCCATGCTTTAAGGGAAACCCAATTACTATTAAGTTAATAAATCATTAATTTCAATTCTTTTGATACAGAGACTCATTTATGAGTAGCTATAAAAAATTAACAATTTATTAGAAGTGGAATAACCTAAAATAAGAAAAGCCAAAAATTGTAATAAATTATGAGAAAATTATTTTAAATACACTCATGCAATTTGATGCAAAAATAAAATACAATAATGCAGTTTGAAAATACAATCATACAGTTGGAAAAACTTATGCCAAAATTATTATCATTATAGGTTGTGAAAATATTTATTGAAACAAATTCACTATAAAAATAACAAAAATGTAAACTAAATAAAATGAAAATAAAAAAGTAAAAACACTAATTTAATTAATAAAAAAACAGCTTTTTTATAAACTGTCATTGTAGACAAAAATTCTTGTATTTTAACAAGAATATTTGTCTTTACTTAAAAAAATCCTAATAATTATGTTAAAATAATAGTTATGTTAAAATAATTGCAACAATTGTTTAAAATATTTTTTGTCAAATGTTTTTTAAGCAAATTTTATTTTTTATATAGGAATTGTTTTTTGTTAATATATAATTAATTATATACTTTACTATATATTGTTGTCTGTCTGGTAATACCTCTCATGTGTAAAAAAACAAACTTTTCTAGAAGAAGTTGAAATGCATTTATTATAAATATAATAAATGCATTCATATAATGAATTTGATAATTTGATAATGAATTATGATATTTTGATAATTTGATATAATGATATTTTGATAATCATATAATGAATTCATATAATAAATGCATTCATATAATGAATTATATAAATAATAAATGCATTCATATAATAAATGTATTCATATTATGAATTATTATATATACATTATTATATATAAAAATGCATTTATTATATATAAATTAAATCAAGTAGTATCTCTATTCTATTCATAGATGATTTTTTTCCGGGAATTCCTGGAATTCTGGAAATTCACTTGAAACTCCTTTAATTTTCCAGAATTTTCCGAATGTTTTTTGTTTTTAATTTGAAAAAAAAATTTATATATTTTTACATATAATTTTAAATGCAACAACTTTTGCATTCAAACAAATATGTTTTCTATTATTAAAATTAAAATTTTCACGAGGTATATTTTTGTAACAATTTTTTTTCTTTTTTTTTTTTTTTGCTTTTTAATTCATTCAAATTATCTTTTTCGAATATTAAAAATTCCTTTTTGTAAATAGTCAAATAATCTAAATTCAGTTTTAAAAGTTTTTTGTTGTCTTTTAATACGATCAATTTTTAATAAAATAATTTTCCGGGATCAAATACTCATCTATGTCTATTAAAATTAAAAATACTCATCTATGTCTATTAAAATTAAAAAATTTTCAAAAATTAGTAAATTTTTTTTAATAAAAAACTCATCTGTTGTCTCTTCATTCTTTTTTTGAGTAGTTTAAGGTTAATGAGTATTAACAAGAAAAGGTGTAAAAAACAAGTTTTTTTCATGAAGAAGTTTAAACTAAATTAACTCAATTAACCTTAAACAACTTGAGAGAAAAAAAAACATAAATTTATTAATTTTTAAAAGTTTTTTTAATTTTAATAAAACTGGATTTTTGCAACATCTCTTAATTAAAACACATTGCTACTTCCAGTACTTACGGTTTGTCAGCACATCTGGTATCTTACTAAAAGTTATGGATGTATGAGCATTAAAAAAAAAGTATTTGACACTTAAGAGGTATTATCAAAGCTGGGCAGTAGTGTGACTTGGTCCACAACTTGGCTATATGTAGACTCTCCATTTGGTAATGGAGTTAAAAATACTTTTTGTGAAAACTTGGTAGAAGACTGATATTGCTACTAAAAAAAATCCAAAGCACTACTCTGTTGTTCAATGCGTTTAGAAGTCATTTTGTTTTTAATGTTTTTATTACTTATCAAGTAATAAAAACACTTAACAATCTCAACGTTTTTGCAAAAAATTTGTTTACTATATATAGTATTTAAAGATTCAACTTGTGACTCTAGTCAGCAATTAGTGGTCGTTATACAAAACATTATAATAATAAAAATATGCAATGTGTGACTTATGTCAATAATTAGCAAATCTAATTATTGACAAATTATTGAGGCATATTAAAATTATAACATCTCCCCCAGTTCAACAAGAGCCCATACATAATTACTATGGGAGAAGAGTACTTCCTAAAGAAATAACAACTGATGACGATTACAATCCGACACTGTTTAAACCTCAAGAAACGAACTTAAAATACGTCACAATCGAAGATCCAAGTTCTCAAATAAGTTCCCGTGCTGATCAAAACTATTTAAAAAATTGTGAGACAGAGTTACAGCCTGTTCGATTCACTCACTATGGGAGAAGAAGAGTACTTCCTAACCGGAAGTGTTACTTCCGGTTAGGAAGTACTCTTTGTTGGTACCCATGTAACATTTACACTTATAGCATAATCCTCGACCAATTTTCCAAATATTTGAAGCCTTCGTCAGATTAGCATTTCCCATTGCCCAGCACATTTAACAGGTTTGTCACGAGTCAAATCAGAATTTAACCAACTGAATACACAAGAGAATCAGTTTTGATAGAGACTTGGGTTCCATTTCAATGCCATATTGAGACCTTTAATACATGCATCCAATTCAATGCCATATTGAGACCTTCAATACATGCATCCAATTCAGCCACGTTGATATGCATTGCATCAGACTTTGGTTGAAGCCAAGTTGCATCTTCTATTTTTGTCACCTTGCATTATTACAACTCCTTTTGCAAGCGAATTTGCATCACACCATACAGTTAGAGATGCATTTGGTTTAACATTCCACACGCCTTTTCCTGGATCGCATTTGATAACTATATACACGACTTCCTGCATCATTTCATTTACACACTTATTCATAACAGGTTCATCCCAACCTGCTTCGTTTCTACATCTCTTTATAAAGCTGCATGCGAGTCTCAACCAGCAACTGGTTGATTAGCAACCAGATTACCGCATAATGAGAATATCTCCCTCTTGGTGAGCACATTTTTAATAATAGGAATCCTCTCTTCCAAAACATTTCCTTTGTAGATGGATTTACTGTTACTTCCAATCCTAGAGCAGGAACTGGGTTTTTGCCAAAATATTCAGGTGTTTTCGCGTGAAGAGCCCATTTTTTCATATGTGCCACCAGCTTCCTTCCATTTCCATTGGTTGCTAAGGTGTCATCAATGTATCCTCTTGCTGAATTTGCAAGTGCAGAATTTTGTTGGAGAACATATCGTAGTATTGAGCTTATCATCACAGGTGCTAGGTTCAAACCAAAACCCAAACATGTAAGCGCATATTGTTGATCCTTGTAAATTACAGTTTGGTAAGGCCAATGTTGTTTATGCATATGAATTTGTAGGTATGCTCTTTTAGATCCACCACCAAGTCGTTATTGTTTTTATTCATGAGTCTTCAGTCCCTCATTGCATCGTTGATGACATCTGCATCCTTTGTAGAGGCTTTTACATAGGTGTTAAGTTTGCAATAATAAAGCACCGGTCTAATCTTCTTTTGATTATCTTAAATGACGCACATCAACGGTAGTAATCCTTTAGCTTTTCCAATAATTTTATCGTCATATTTGATAAGTATGTCTTCTTTGATCCATTCATTAATTTTGTTGTCGTACGCTTTACGATGTTGGTTGGATACGTTGTACTTGTTCTGTTTTTTATTTTAGGTTCCGTCTCCCACTCCCAACTTACAATCCATTTTTTGCCATCAAAATAAGCTTTGCTCGTTCCAATTTCAATTGTTGCAACAAGAGGTGTCGATTATAATTTAATCAGAGAATTACATTTCAATTTTCCAGTGCCAATTTTCAGTTCATCATACGACTTTATTAAATCCATACCCATAATCATGTCATACTTGTTTATTACTTCATCCACACATAACACCAATGCATCCACCAAGCACCCGTTTGTTGGGTGGTGTATTTTAGAAACAACTTCTTCACATCGAATTATTCCGCCCATTGTTGCAACATTAATTACACGAATTACTTTATAGTCAAATGGTAGTAACTTCTTGGTGATGATTGATTGCAAGCAACCAGTATGCAGGCTTGGTCGGGAAGCGGGAGTGATCGCTCTCGATTGCTGACCATGTAAATAATATTTAGTTGCGAAAAGCTGGCCAGGTTTTTTAGTCGTTTTGAGAATATTTTTAAAAGCAAAAAAAAAAAGCGATAAACATTAACTGGATCGATGAGAAATAATTACAAAAAAAAAAAATTAAAGCTAAATAAATTACGTTTAGAACAAATATTTTCGAAACATCGCTCTTTTATAATTTTTTTTATAAAATTAAGCAATGTTTTTTATATAAAGTAACAACTTACGATTGTTTAAAAAGGAAACAAATATCTTTATTAACAAAGTTTGCAAGTTT